CGACATAGCAGGCTGGTACATCAAGTAGCGCATGGCACATAGAAGATGACACAGCAACGAAATAGGTAGCTCGATTGCGACGTAGATCTACGTTTCGTCCCCGCTGGACTCATCAGGCAATCTTCTTCTTGGATGTCTTCATACGGAGCTTGACTCGGGAGAATGAAGTTGAAGACACCACTGCAGCTGTACTTATGGTTGGTTCATATGGTGGTAAAGACACACCTGGCAATATGGCGGTAAACACACGCCTGCCCACACACGCTCTCTAAGCTGCAAAGTTCTAGCTCAGAGCTCTCCTTCTCACCACCACCACGTCAGGTGATCAGTGCAGTTAAAGCATATACATGTAGTTTGGTAAGTCCAGAACGTCTTCAGCTCTTGAAGCTTTGATGTTGCCATCGCCAGTCTTTTCTTGACTTCGACGTCAGATGATCCATCTGCACTCTGCAGGGATGGTCGCTCCGAGGTACTAGTACTTGATTTGTTGCACCCGCTCCAATGCAACGCCGTCCACACAGGTTGATCAGGGGTCACCATGATTTTTGTTTTATTTGCATTTATTTCCATTGAGACACACACTAGTCCATCGGCCAAATCTCAGAAAAGGCCTCTTTCGGAGAAGGTGATGCACTGAAGCTCCAAGTAAACGCCCTTTGGCACACTAGCTCATGGGACCCCATAGAATACGAATCCGATTGTTGGACGTTGCCAATCCAGTCCAGGATAGTCGAACTGGGTCGAATACCTTCTTCCGAAATTTCGTCCACCATTACATCTTTGTCATCGACTTTTTTTCGCGGTGCGAATGTTCTTGAGCCGCTGAGCAGAATCTACGCACGCTCGAACACTTGAAATGCCTGCATGTTGACGGTTCGCAAGATTCTAGCGAGCTTGGTGGAACTCCATTATTTATTTGGACATTTTTTGGGGAATCTGAATTAGAACGGTAGAAGCTCTGTCGGATTGTCGCCTCTGTCGGATTGTCGCTACTCTGTTTCAGACGTATTTGCTTGAACGTGCTATTGAGGATGGACAGAAGATGAAGTGACGGCTTTCTTGAACACCGACGTTTTTTCCACATTGTAGCTGAAACATGTCATCTGGCGTCTAGAGCGCAATTGTTATGAGTTGTGAGTGCCAGCTGAGCTGAACGCAAGCTGGGCACCATTCGTCAGCTGGGAATTTGCATCGAAGCTCTTGATAGCCACGATAAGCATAATAAATTATTATACAGAGGTAACCTTGTTTGACTTAATACGCATGCAGGTGATACCACTAGTGGCACTGCACTGTAAATGGTGCAAAATTGATGCAACAGTGAATATGTACTTCGTACAATCACGAACAATTGTAAGTTCATGCCTGTCATAGAAGACTTTCAGCCCGGAATACTTGTTGTCATGGTCATAAATAATACAGGACTTGAGTTGGCTCTGGACATAAACACACTTGTGGTGAATACGGTCATTATTGCGAGAAAAATATTTAGCCATTGTATGTTAACACCTGATGCCGCACTACAAGCAATATTTTATGTACATGTATGTGAGACTCAATTGCATCCAGAAGGCCGTAGATGCATGTAAGCACGCAATGCTGTACAATAAGTAGTAGTCGACACGTGGTGCCTTCCTGCTGCACATGCACATGTGGCAAGTAAGTTGGCAATGACGCATGACCGATCTGCACCGCACAGCGTGAGCTTAGAATGGAATATTGTACACATAGTGCTATTTGTGTTCCGATATCGTTAAGCCGGTATACATGTACTAGTATCCTTATACATGTACCTGGTCACTCGCTAGGCGATGCCGACTGTACTAATCTTATCCATATTACCAAGAGTGCATAAACAAGAGTATGCAACTGTGGTTATGGGTCAGGGCGCGGCGCGCTGCCTTCATTACGTAACTAATTACTTGTCACGCTCTGAAAGCATGCATTCAAACTCTCAATTTCTCGCACGAGCCCATCCGTTTTTTGCTCGATTCGTTCCAGTACCTACACAATCTCTGAATTCTGGCGCGTGAACTCCAGTTCCGTACGAAAGTTCATTTCAAACTAGAGGGAAAGTGCGGTGTTTGATTTTCCGCAGTGCGCGGACTGCAGCTGAATGATGTAATGAAGGCAGCGCGCCGCGCATCTGGCCCATAGAAAAGAGATCAAAGTTGCATACTCTTGCTTATGGACTCTTGATATTACCCGATAGGCTATAGCACACTGCGTCAGATCACTACGCAACAAAACAAGAGCTTTGGAGCGAATATACACTGAAGCAAAGTGGGTTTCAACGGTACAGCACTAGTCACAATGAGGGGAGTTACGAGGATGGTTAGGCCGTGACACATAGATGATAATTGTTTTATTATTTTCATTAAAATGATTCATGCACGGTGGAAAATTACCACCAATGGCGATGATATTGCTTTCACAACAATGACATTAGTAGTAGGAGCAGTGACACAACCTTACTGCTCCAAGTAGGATTTACAAGCGAGTGAAGGGAGAGCAGACTGGTCTACTTGTAGTAATAGCAGACCGGGTGACTGGTCTACTTGTAGTAATAGCAGACCGGGTCTAAGCAAGGAAGTAATCGGCATCAGGGTGAGCTTGCACATCAGAAAACAGATGATGATCACCAAACACAGAGAAGTTGGCTATGTGTATGTTTGTGTCACTGTGTGTGCATGTGCGTGTGTGTGCATGTGTGTTTGTGTGTATGCGCGCACATCTGTGTGTGAGAGAGAGGCAGACAGACAGATAGCCTATGGTGGGAGGGATTAAGGTCTGACCTCAGAGTTAACTGCTGACGGTGTGGAATAGCAACAGTGCGAAATCGTGCAGGGTGGTTAATGGCCCACACTGGAGCCGAGTAGGAGCGCCAGTGGTTGAAGGCTTGCACAGGAGTAGCAGCAGCTCCAGCTTAGGAAGATCAGCTTCTGGATGAAAATCTCCCGGACACAGTAGGTACCAAGCTTCACTAGCAGATTGCCGGCAGGGGCGCACAGCAAGCACCCGTAAATCCCTCAAGCCACCAGAGCCGCAGTACTTGGACACTATCCAGGTGCTTACCCGCCAACAATGCTGAGAAGGCACTGGAGCCATACAGAAACTTATGATCGAGCATGACCACAGACTTGAAATACAGGGTCCGGCTTGAAATACTGAGACAGCGACGTCTCCTCCACAGAACACCACTCAGCCCCACCATTGCATTATTTTCGCTTCTTCATGATTTTTACAATTGTGTTAGAGCACACAGCACTCGATGCAACATTTACCAGTGACTAAATAACTCCGCGTCTCCGCCCACAACTGCAGCGTTCTTGTCAGCCTGTTGGATTTCCGTCAGCCTGTTGAGATTATCTTCATCTCGTCACATGTGAGCCTGTGTGTTTCATCCGTACCGTGGCACAATTACACAGACACGATTTCCAACACAGGCCGGTTCCGTTGCTCGAAGGGTTGGCGGTAAGAATTGCTACGCCGTCTGTGGCTGCATGGGAACTTGGCGAGTCGTCGTCTTTCTCCATAAATCCTGATCGTCACGCGAACAACAGCCACTATTGCGTAAAACTACGACACAACAGTATCAAGCTCTCCCCAGCAGAAGGACACGAATGACGAGCGCTAAGACGGAGAAAGAGAGACAGGGTTTAAGCCGGAGCTGACTAGTGCAGGTACGCTGTCATCTCCTGAGGAGGTGGGCCAAGCAGCGAAGTGAAACGAAGGAAGATAGAATGCATACGGTACGGAGGCACCAAAACCCTGTCACATACTAAGTGCCATTTAGGGTTGACAGCTGTCAGCTGAAAGCCTCAAAAATTTGAAAATCTTTCTAAAAAAACTCGCGATCAAAACTCTGCGCACTCTCAAATGGAGCGCACAGGAAAAAACTCGGCGACGAAGATCAAGAACGCTTCGTATCGACGCCCTGGACTGAATTCTGCACGTCCAACAAACGGAATAGTGTTCTCTGATATTCTCTACGTGCTGGATATGGTCGCGTTTACTTGGAAGCTCAGTGCATCACCACTTTCGATTTTGAGACTTGGCCGATGGACTAAACCAGCTTAGGAAGTTTCGCATGTGCCAGGCCACCACCATGCCTGTCATACCTGGGAGGCAGATGCAGATCCTAGCGGCGAGGGTGAGATGGTAAGTCTCACAACCGTTTTGAAGCAATGCCCGGCAAGGGGGCGAACCTCGCTGCCTTCGTACTAAGTCATTATAAGCAATAACCTCGTAAACTACCCTGGCTTCGTGACAACACGAACTGATCCAGCGGCCGCGAAGATCGAGAAGACGGTGGCTTCTCGTTCTGGTCGGCACTGGCTGAGGAATTCGCAACGATGTTGTGCCTATCCTTCAGGTGGCGAGTCAGATTCGTTGTGCCTCCTGTGTACGTGAAGTCTTTCCGACATTCACTGCAGGTTTCCAGCTTACCGTTGGGCTGCGTGAAATAATTCCACACAAAGGAACGCTGACTCGACTGGCGCTTTACAGTCGGTGAGACAGACGAAGCTTGACGAAGACGGTCCATAACGCACGGCGTATACAGTCGAAAGAAGAACTTGAAAAAAGAAATAACAACTCAACTCTATTAAAACAACAAAAACATCGATCGACTGGAAAAAGGTTCATTCTTATCTTGACTCCCCCCCCCCCCCCCCCCATGCGCGCGTTGTAGTCTGCACGTCATGCTAGCATGCAGTCGATCGACATGACGCATGTAACGGCAACGCATAGTGAACCCCCGCAATGTTGCAATCGGTACTCGAGTACTCGGATTTGAACCGAGTAGATCTACTCGCTCGCTGCAAATTTTCGAGCGAGTACTCGAGTAATCGATACTCGTTTCAGTCCTACTGAATAAATACGCGCTAGTTGGCACCGTTTTAATATGTACTCCAGGTCTCTATGTGCATGGTGAATGCGCAGGTCGCTTCATTTATTGTGTTGAATCCTGTTATTGGTGATCTCTCCGCTCCTTGTAGACACCACCGGCACGGTCTGTTGGTCTGCCAGCGCGGTCGCAAGCATCACCTGAATCCCGGAAGCAACCCCAGGAGCAGCCACAGCCAGCACACCAGCAACGCCATCAGCAGCAACAGCAGCAGCAGCCTTCGTGGACAAGCATGGACCGCAGTCAAGCACCAGTGAGTTTTGTAGCAAGAAGGACCCACGGGCACGGGACGGGTGTGTGTGATCTCCGGTAGCCTAAGGGTAGGGATATCACCGTATTTTTTTTCTTTCGTAGTAAGCAAAGAAAACTGTTTGTTTTCGGGAAGAACTACAGTACTGGAGATGGCACAGAATATTTGGATGAAAAATCTTGAAGGATACCAGAGATATGAGGCGTAAAAGTCATACGCCAACCTTCATCATGATGTATGCGGAATGTAGCCCTTTCCCAAAGGTACTCTTTCAATTCGCACTTAGTGCTTTTCGCTTCCCTCAAAATATGCTGAAAAAGTGCTCTTTTTCAGTGAATCATAACCATGCATGATACATGTTCAGATATGAACCCAAGCTGAGAAATGAACAAGCACTCTTCCATTTATGGGTCTATGAAAGGCAAAACAGGAAGTAAAGTTCAAATACCCACTTTTTACACCGGGTACAAGCTTCACCAACTTGTTGCCTCCCCAAAAAAGCGGCATGCCAAGGCCCATCGAGCACTCGGAAACTGTGATCGCATGCATGAGCAAACAGATGTTGGCACTTTTTCAACTAAAAAAGCTCAAAAAGGGCGATATTCACCAAAAAACGCAAAAAAGGGCCAAACGGGGCGAAAAAAGGGCGAGCACTTTTGAGAAAGGGCTAGCGGAATGCCATACTGCTGTGGCACCAACAGGGTTTGTTGCAAGCTGTCATTTGTTGACAGCACTGTATTTGAATGTGAGCAGACCGTGCGCAACTTGTGGTATCATAGAAACAAGCGAAAGTGTGCAGAATTTTGCTCCAAGTCCAAAAAAGTCCAAAAAAATCGCGTTTTTTAGCCACGTAATAGAGAGTTTACGCTTCACGTTTTTTCAATTTCGAACGTGAGATCTCACGGCCAAAATGGCGCATCTCACGTTGAAACGTGAGATTTCAACGCGACAGCGGTCCAACTCACGGTGGAAAAAAGCGTGAGTTTATTCAAGTAATTCCAACGGTTTTTTGTTCAGAATCTCGAGAATCTAGATAACTTTAGTACAATTCGATGTTTTCCTTTTGTTTTCTAAACGAATCATCCTCGGGTCGCGACCCAATGACCTCCTTGGTTTCTAAACGGATCAACCTCGGGTCGCGACCCCATGACCTCTTCCGAAAACTCACGTCATTTCAGCACGCATAGCGTAAACTCTCCGCACAACTCCAACACGGTCAAAAAAATGTGAAGCGTAAACTCTCTATTGGGCTGCACGGCGGCGGGCAAAGCTCGCCGCCGTGCAGCAGGACTTTTGCCAACACCCTCGTGACGTTGCAGATATGTGGCTTGATTATTGTAGTTGACGTTGATTTAGTGACTTTGGCAAGTTTGAGTCGTGTCAAGAAGTGAGGTAGGATTCAGTACTAGGCAGTAGTGGAACGTGAGTGGTAGTCTTTGCCGGTTGTTTAGAGTATCCTGGATTTGGTGTGCAGCGCTGTGGAAATGGCTTGCTGTGGAGGACCCAGCACTGGATGTTGTATCAAAGGTACGACCTCGTAGCACGTGCTTAACCTAAAAAAATTCAAAAATTGACTTGGGTCTGTGGGAGTCTGTGAGAGAACGCCCACTCGTTCCGTTGTGACATATTCCAGGGCCACATTGAGGGGCCCTACCCCACCACCCATGGCTGCTTCTGGACTTGCTTTAGGTTTGGATCCCGCGCTCGGACAGAATTGGCACGAAAATGTGAAAAAATTGTAAATGCATGTTTTTGGTGGGTGGCTCGCACACCGTGGCACTATGCCGGAATTTTGAGTTTTCCGGCCTGGAAAGCCTGTCAGTGAGGCGCAAGAACTTTTAAATCATGTCAAGAGGGCCAGCATAGTGGCAGGAGTGTGTAGTCATAATTTCACTCAAATCCATTGAGAGACACCAAAGTTATGGGCAATTGAATGCCATATGAAATTTATGGGTAGGCTGCCCCCTTAAACGCTCAGGGAAAATCCCTAAGCTACAGTCTGGAACAATCCTTGTCAGTTCAACAAACAACCTTGATCCAGCATTGGATTGTTCAATTTGTTGCAAAAGAAGGATCCACAAGCGGGATTCGAACCCAGCATCCCTGTCTTTCCGGGACAGAGCCCTACCCATTAGGTGCTATGTGCATATTTAATTTTATTTATTCCCGTAGCTATGCAAAAGACGTTACTTCGGTAACGTCTGGCGCTAGCCAGGGTCCACACAGCTTTAATTCCGTGTTTGTGTGTTTGTGTCGTCGGCATGCCTGGCGCTATCCCGTACCGCACCAGGAAGTCCATTATCAAAGTATTCAAGCAGTATGATCTAAAAATCACTATCGACGTTAATATTTCCACAGTGAATTTCCTAGACGTCACACTCAGCCTCGACACTGGGAAACTCCAGCCGTATCGTAAACCTGGTGACGCACCTCTCTACGTCAACCCTATGTCCAATCACCCACCATCCATACTACGGAACATCCCTGATATGATCGCTCGACGTGTCTCAAGCACATCTGCTGACAGCGACGTATTCACCGATGCTGCCCCTACATATCGCAATGCATTAGCGGCCAGCGGTTTACCTGCCAACATCAAGTACATTGACCCAACGCCACCTGCTGCAATGAACGGCAGCAAGCAAAAAATAAAAAGGAAACGGAATGTGGTGTGGTTTTCCCGCCATACTCCAAGAGTGTCCGGACCAACATCGCCGGCACCTTCCTGCGGCTGACCGACAAGCATTTTCCTAAGGGGTCCAAAATGAACAAAATCTTCAACCGCTTCAACGTGAAGGTGAGCTACTCCTGTTTACCGAATATGGCCCACATTATAAGTGGCCACAATAAGCGTCAATTGTGTGTCCAGGAACCGGACAAGCCGTGCAACTTCCGTCGCAAGGACCAGTGCCCTCTCAACGGAGCGTGCCAAGCAACCAGTATAGTCTACGCGGTGGAGGTGTCGAGTGATGGCCACAGCGATGGGCCCAAGACCTACATTGGCAGCACGGAGCCTCCATTCAAGCTTCGATACGGGAATCACAAGACATCTATCAAGCATCCTGGATACCGCAAATCCACGGGCCTCTCAAAACATGTGTTGGAATTGAAAGATAATGGCAAGACGCACGACATCCAGTGGCGAGTTGTTCAGAAGGCCAAGGTCTACAGCAACATAACGAAAAGATGCAGCCTGTGCCTCGAGAAGAAGGCGAGAATAATCACTGCCGACAGGAGATCGAGCCTCAACAGGCAGCCGGAGTTGATATCTAAATGTCGACATCAAAATAAATTCATGCTATCAACACCAATAACATGATCTTCTCGGCACCCTGCCTCCAGGCAGTAGGGCCAGTTGACAGCCCTCTGCCGCCTTGTCACCATCATCAACTTTGGACCGCGCATCTCAGGCACTAGCTGTGCCAGCTCCGTTGTACCGTTTTATCACCTTTCTTAGTACCGCGATCCTTACTGGCTATGGCACTGAATCGGATATGAGTTGATAGAACCGAGTACATCTACTCGCTCGCTGCACATTTTCGAGCGAGTACTCGAGTAATCGATATACTCGTTTCAGCCCTACTGACTGAATACGCGCTAGTTGGCACCGTTTTAATAATGTGCTCCAGTTCTCTATGTGCATGGTGAATTTGTTCTGAAAATATCCTAATCCTGTTATTAACCTCTCACAAAAGCTGTGCATGGTGAATGCACAAGTCGCTTCATTTATTGTGTTGAATCCTGTTATTGGTGATCTCTCCGTTCCTTGTAGACACCACCGGCACAGTCTGTTGGTCTGCCAGCGCGGTCGCAAGCATCACCTGAATCCCGGAAGCAACCCCAGGAGCAGCCACAGCCAGCACACCAGCAACGCCATCAGCAGCAACAGCAGCAGCAGCCTTCGTGGACAAGCATGGACCGCAGTCAAGCACCAGTGAGTTTTGTAGCAAGAAGGACCCACGGGCACGGGACGGGTGTGTGTGATCTCCGGTAGCCTAAGGGTAGGGATATCACCGTATTTTTTTTCTTTCGTAGTAAGCAAAGAAAACTGTTTGTTTTCGGGAAGAACTACAGTACTGGAGATGGCACAGAATATTTGGATGAAAAATCTTGAAGGATACCAGAGATATGAGGCGTAAAAGTCATACGCCAACCTTCATCATGATGTATGCGGAATGTAGCCCTTTCCCAAAGGTAATCTTTTAATTCGCACTTAGTGCTTTTCGCGTCCCTCAAAATATGCTGAAAAAGTGCTCTTTTTCAGTGAATCATAACCATGCATGATACATGTTCAGATATGAACCCAAGCTGAGAAATGAACACGCACTCTTCCATTTATGGGTCTATGAAAGGCAAAACAGGAAGTAAAGTTCAAAAACCCGCTTTTTACACCGGGTACAAGCTTCACCAACTTGTTGCCTCCCCAAAAAAGCGGCATGCCAAGGCCCATCGAGCACTCGGAAACTGTGATCGCATGCATGAGCAAACAGATGTTGGCACTTTTTCAACTAAAAAAGCTCAAAAAGGGCGATATTCACCAAAAAACGCAAAAAAGGGCGAAAGAAACGGGCTTTTCCAAAAAGGGCCAAACGGGGCGAAAAAAGGGCGAGCACTTTTGAGAAAGGGCTAGCGGAATGCCATACTGCTGTGGCACCAACAGGGTTTGTTGCAAGCTGTCATTTGTTGACAGCACTGTATTTGAATGTGAGCAGACCGTGCGCAACTTGTGGTATCATAGAAACACGCGAAAGTGTGCAGAATTTTGCCAAAAAAGTCCAAAAAAATCGCGTTTTTTAGCCACGTAATAGAGAGTTTACGCTTCACGTTTTTTCAATTTCGAACGTGAGATCTCACGGCCAAAATGGCGCATCTCACGTTGAAACGTGAGATTTCAACGCGACAGCGGTCCAACTCACGGTGGAAAAAAGCGTGAGTTTATTCAAGTAATTCCAACGGTTTTTTGTTCAGAATCTCGAGAATCTAGATAACTTTAGTACAATTCGATGTTTTCCTTTTGTTTTCTAAACGAATCATCCTCGGGTCGCGACCCAATGACCTCCTTGGTTTCTAAACGGATCAACCTCGGGTCGCGACCCCATGACCTCTTCCGAAAACTCACGTCATTTCAGCACGCATAGCGTAAACTCTCCGCACAACTCCAACACGGTCAAAAAAATGTGAAGCGTAAACTCTCTATTGGGCTGCACGGCGGCGGGCAAAGCTCGCCGCCGTGCAGCAGGACTTTTGCCAACACCCTCGTGACGTTGCAGATATGTGGCTTGATTATTGTAGTTGACGTTGATTTAGTGACTTTGGCAAGTTTGAGTCGTGTCAAGAAGTGAGGTAGGATTCAGTACTTGGCAGTAGTGGAACGTGAGTGGTAGTCTTTGCCGGTTTTTTAGAGTATCCTGGATTTGGTGTGCAGCGCTGTGGAAATGGCTTGCTGTGGAGGACCCAGCACTGGATGTTGTATCAAAGGCCTCGTAGCACGTGCTTAACCTAAAAAAATTCAAAAATTGACTTGGGTCTGTGGGAGTCTGTGAGAGAACGCCCACTCGTTCCGTTGTGACATATTCCAGGGCCACATTGAGGGGCCCTACCCCACCACCCATGGCTGCTTCTGGACTTGCTTTAGGTTTGGATCCCGCGCTCGGACAGAATTGGCACGAAAATGTGAAAAAATTGTAAATGCATGTTTTTGGTGGGTGGCTCGCACACCGTGGCACTATGCCGGAATTTTGAGTTTTCCGGCCTGGAAAGCCTGTCAGTGAGGCGCAAGAACTTTTAAATCATGTCAAGAGGGCCAGCATAGTGGCAGGAGTGTGTGGTCATAATTTCACTCAAATCCATTGAGAGACACCAAAGTTATGGGCAATTGAATGCCATATGAAATTTATGGGTAGGCTGCCCCCTTAAACGCTCAGGGTAAATCCCTAAGCTACAGTCTGGAACAATCCTTGTCAGTTCAACAAACAACCTTGATCCAGCATTGGATTGTTCAATTTGTTGCAAAAGAAGGATCCACAAGCGGGATTCGAACCCAGCATCCCTGTCTTTCCGGGACAGAGCCCTGCCCATTAGGTGCTATGTGCATATTTAATTTTATTTATTCCCGTAGCTATGCAAAAGACGTTACTTCGGTAACGTCTGGCGCTAGCCAGGGTCCACACAGCTTTAATTCCGTGTTTGTGTGTTTGTGTCGTCGGCATGCCTGGCGCTATCCCGTACCGCACCAGGAAGTCCATTATCAAAGTATTCAAGCAGTATGATCTAAAAATCACTATCGACGTTAATATTTCCACAGTGAATTTCCTAGACGTCACACTCAGCCTCGACACTGGGAAACTCCAGCCGTATCGTAAACCTGGTGACGCACCTCTCTACGTCAACCCTATGTCCAATCACCCACCATCCATACTACGGAACATCCCTGATATGATCGCTCGACGTGTCTCAAGCACATCTGCTGACAGGGACGTATTCACCGATGCTGCCCCTACATATCGCAATGCATTAGCGGCCAGCGGTTTACCTGCCAACATCAAGTACATTGACCCAACGCCACCTGCTGCAATGAACGGCAGCAAGCAAAAAATAAAAAGGAAACGGAATGTGGTGTGGTTTAACCCGCCATACTCCAAGAGTGTCCGGACCAACATCGCCGGCACCTTCCTGCGGCTGACCGACAAGCATTTTCCTAAGGGGTCCAAAATGAACAAAATCTTCAACCGCTTCAACGTGAAGGTGAGCTACTCCTGTTTACCGAATATGGCCCACATTATAAGTGGCCACAATAAGCGTCAATTGTGTGTCCAGGAACCGGACAAGCCGTGCAACTTCCGTCGCAAGGACCAGTGCCCTCTCAACGGAGCGTGCCAAGCAACCAGTATAGTCTACGCGGTAGAGGTGTCGAGTGATGGCCACAGCGATGGGCCCAAGACCTACATTGGCAGCACGGAGCCTCCATTCAAGCTTCGATACGGGAATCACAAGACATCTATCAAGCATCCTGGATACCGCAAATCCACGGGCCTCTCAAAACATGTGTTGGAATTGAAAGATAATGGCAAGACGCACGACATCCAGTGGCGAGTTGTTCAGAAGGCCAAGGTCTACAGCAGCATAACGAAAAGATGCAGCCTGTGCCTCGAGAAGAAGGCGAGAATAATCACTGCCGACAGGAGATCGAGCCTCAACAGGCAGCCGGAGTTGATATCTAAATGTCGACATCAAAATAAATTCATGCTATCAACACCAATAACATGATCTTCTCGGCACCCTGCTTCCAGGCAGTAGGGCCAGTTGACAGCTCTCTGCCGCCTTGTCACCATCATCAACTTTGGACCGCGCATCTCAGGCACTAGCTGTGCCAGCTCCGTTGTACCGTTTTATCACCTTTCTTAGTACCGCGATCCTTACTGGCTATGGCACTGAATCGGATATGAGTTGATAGCGCCCCTAGCGCTTTCTGTTATCCCTGTCCCGCCATACTGGGCTTTAAATAGTGGGTTATTTTTCTTGATGTTCATATCACCTGACGAGTGCCTGAGATGGCATAGAACTTTGGATTGTGACTGATCAGGCCATCTGTTGTTCTGACTAGTGTAACATATTATAGTATAATTATACATAATTATATTCATTCCTGATGATGGTCATAAAGACCGAAACGTTGTAACGATACCAATGGATTTGTGTGAAATGCAGTGCTCTCTTGCGTGTAGGCAGGTTGACTGCGAACGATTCACATACATATATTTTTATTTTAAATTTTTTTATTTTATTTTTGTCCTTGTGGTGACAGTCAATTTTTCTTCAGACTTTTCCTGTTTGTCTCTTTCCCTCAAACCAGTTAATATTTTATTTTTTATTATTATTTATCGCCTCCGCTTCATGGCACATAATAATACATAGCCAATGCAAGAAAGGGAGGGTGAATCCAACCACGGAAAATAGCATTATCAAAAGAAGAAAAGGAAGGGAGGTGTCACCATGTGTCAACAGAAGGAAGCACAGTACTATTTCAGCTGAAATACATCCTTAAAAGCTGAGAGAGTAGTAGATGGCCTAAACTGTGGAAAATATTCCTTCTATCGAATAATGCAACTCCTACAAATGTGCTGGTAGGATTGAGCAGAATTTGTAGATGTGGCTAGGCATGTTTGTGTGTTTGGAATACTGGGCAACACTAGCAGCACTCTTGAGCAAGTGGAAATCATTTACCTTTTCGCGGTTTCTATATCACTGTGCTCTTTTGCCGTGTCAGTGACGAGGGCTGGCAATGTATTTTGAAGTTTCTTCCTGATATCCCTGATGTCGTGCTCTCCTTGAAGCAGACTAATGGATCCACTGCATTCTCAATGGCAATGACGCAGCAACAACAGCAGCAACCGCAACAACAGCAGCAGCCACAACAACCTCACCTACCGTCGGCAACGACTGGCAGCAGTCTATACCAGTCACGGTATGGTAACACGCCGACGGCATCCTCCCTTAGTGGACCGAGTGGCGCAGCAGTTTTCGCTAACACGATGTCTCCGTACTATCGTTCTGGCAACAGACCGGTGCAGTATGATCAAACATCTCACTCTGGATCTTCATTGAAGGCGCTGTCGAGACACCAGAGCAGTGTGAGTAAACAGACACAGACAGACTCCCAAACACACACACAGACACACACACATGCTCTCACACACACACACACACGCGCACACGCACACACACACACACACACACACACACACACACACACACACACACACACACATAGACACACATAGACACAACATGCATCTCACAGGTGAGATTCTCCGGTTATTCACCATCTTTTTCACTTTTTTTTGCTGTTTTACTCCTGTTCTTCTGTACAGACGCTTTACGACATCATGGTACCGGGAATTGGTCCCACTGCCACTCTCTACGCCTACAACAAATCGCAGTTATTTCCGGATGGCATGGGAAGTAAGGCAGTTTGATGTATGCTGCTGTTGTCCAGGGTTGTGGTGGAATATGATTTTGACACGGCGAATCCGGACGTAGGAATGCTGCTGGCATGCTGGTGTGCACAAGCTGACTGTCTGGAAATTGTGAAATTACATTACCAAGTACAAGTACTGGTGGTGCTTCTCTTGTGTTGGCCGCAGTGGCTCAGATGGGAGCAGCTAATCTATCGGGAGCAGCTAATCTATCGGCGACAGCATATACAGGGCTGCCATCGCAAGCATCGGTGAGTGAATTTGAGTCAAAGTGCGTCTGAAATGTGTACGGGTGTAGTAGTAGTAGTAGTAGTAGTAGTAGCAGCAGCAGCAGCAGCAGCAGTAGTAGTGTTTATTATTTTAATTTTGTGATTCTATCATTCTATCAGCCATTATGGTGTTGCTGTTCTAGTCAATATGTATATAATAACACATGGTACGGAGGGCATTATGGCTGATTTATGCCCTAGTGCGTAGCCCAAGGTCGTGCACCGTAGCCCAAGAGCCGCAGGCCCGCGGGCTACGGTGCACGACCGAGGGCTACGCACTAGGGCATACAATCAGCCATAATGCACGACGCACCATGTGTTTATTATAGTTCATACATGCCACGTGCCTAGTTGTAGACAAATAAGGTAAACATGGTCAAGGGAGGAGGAAGGTTCCAATCAGCTGTCATATGAATGAAGGGTCGAACAAGATCGGAAGGAGCTTTCTCCGTGGAATGATAGAACGTTTTGTGTCAGATTTACTTGCAGTTCCAGGAATATGTCTTTGCATTTTGGTGTTAGTTTTGCCTATTGGGCGGTACGGAAGTTAGCTGATTCGCTGCTGCTTTGGCGTTAACGTTGGTCGCAAACATCCTTGACCAAGGGGCACTAGTAATTAGACTAGTTTTGAGAGTGCATTGTAAGTGTTCTTATTCGGAACAATGATACTTTTTCACATACATCTGAGATTTTGTTCGCATTGCTTTCAGTTTACTTGAGGTCCATATGTACACTGGACAATCATGTAGCTAGGTACATTTGAAGTACATGTACATGTAGATGTAACTGTATATTTTGTAGGAGTTCGAGATACAATCTGATCTCTTCCAGATAGGTAACTTTGTGATGCATATTCACCTGTTGACTTGTTCATCTCAATTGACTTGAATTTAGTAATGCATGGTAATGACATGCTGTGTGCTATTGTCACGTTGTTATAAATTACTTCTCCTATGTCGACATTGCTAGTAAAATATAATTGTTTTGGACGGTGCACGTAAGTAGTTTCGTTTTGTGTGGTGTGTGCGAGTGCATGTGGTGTCCTTAGGAATGGTCCCATGTGTTCTATGTGCGCTGGAGTACTGCCAATTATTATGTACCAGGTCACTGCCCAAAAGGCATGGCTTGGTGCATATTTGGCAGTGCACCAGCGTACGTAGTACGCCTGGGGTCATTCCTAATGGGCATGGGTACGCCGTACCCGGGCATTATCGTCTGATAATGCCCTGGTACGGTGCTGCTCTGATTGGCCAAATGCTAGCAACGACCTGACAACAGGCACGTGACATGTATGAAACAGTGATACACGCTGGTTTGCATTTACCCTTGCCATACTCTCTTGTACTCTGTACTCTCTGTACTCTGTACTCTGCACTCTTTTGTCGTACCCTTGCTGTTCTCTCTCACACCTCACATTTGCAACAGCAAAACCACAGTGCAGGGTCGGCCCTTGACAAGCAAAACAAAATGAAGGACAGACCTTTTGCGCAAGCGCTGTTTCGCACCGCTCGCTCAACAACGATTACGTCACTACAGTGACGTGAACCTGCACTGCGTGCCACAACAAAACTAGTACAGTTAGCAAAACAATATTCGAAGTTCGAGAGAACATTGCTTCTCGTTTCTTTTGAATTCTCCAACGAGAAGCGTACACTACTCTGCCGGCATGCCTCACTTGTTTTTTGGTCACGTGATGCAGGCTTCACGGCATGTAGCAGATTTAGAAATTCAACGTATCAAGGAACAACAGAGGCTGAAGGAAGAAGTGCTGAATGAAATAGTGAACTACCGGAATCCAGAGGAGCAGCAATTACGGGCTGCCGACGTGAACCAGAGAGAGCAGACATTGACGGGCAAACGTTTTTAAAGTCACTGAAGGAAAGAGCGCAACACGAAGCAGCTCATCAGAAGAAGCAAAGGTAACAACTAACCCATGTAAGGGCGAGATCAGACTACCAATAAAAAGTGACAGAATGGGAAAGTTTCCAAGGTGATTTGATCATGTGAGGTTACTGGCACGTTACCGGCGGAAGTGTTTTACTGCCGCGGCGGTAACTGCATTCCGGCAGTAAAAAGAGTGCTCAGGCTGGGAAAAAGGGAAATTCCCTTCTCAGCGCCGCGGTGAGAGTTGCAAAACTTTCGTACCGGTAACGTTAGTTTATCGGTAGTGTGAATGTCCTTCACGGTTTATCGCCATTCACGGTTTCTCGCCATTCACGGTTTGACGGGATTCACGGTAATATGAACGCGCCCTTAGGTGCTGATGGCTATAAGAGGGACGGATCCAGGTGGTTCCGGGCGTTAAGCGGAAACCCCTAAAGTTTACAAATCTCCTACTGGAATCCATATGCATGTACTATACATGTATCAGCTATTCAGCTTTGGATAAACTGCAACCACCTGTAGAGATCTCTGGATCAGACCATGTATAAGACAGTAGTGTTTGAATATCAAGGAAGGTCCGTGTATAATATGAATGAATGTGGCGTGTTAATCACAGGTAGAGCAGGGTGTTTCAAATAGGAGATATATTGCAACCGGAACGAACTCAATATTCACTTTCTCTCTTGGTATTTCGATTAGAAAACATATACCACAGTGAGACTACGATGTATTTTATGCTGAACCAAAGGTTCATGGCTCTGCGATGACCAGATGCGCCATACCAAGTGTAGTGGATGCACATCCCACTGTTTGTCATTGTATCCTTTTATGTAACATGTATGCATTCATCCGGCCGCGCTGTGCGACATGCCAGTTGTACCGTACGCACTTTAGCTGTACTTGCCTGCCTGGCTTTTCCTTTGATCTCTCTGTCGTTCTCTGTATTCCCACACACTTGTGATTTGTAGTAACGAAGCTAGTTACAAGATGTCTTTGGTGCGTTTGTAGAACCACTACATGGTGTCAGAATTGGTTTTCCTGTAGTCTTTGGCCTCGTGAGCGGTGATGGCTCGTTTCAACCCTCCAGCGCCTTTCGACTTCAGCTCACCGGACCAGTGGCCCGCGTGGAAACTCCGTTTCACCCGTTTTCGTGCTGCCACCAAACTGAGTTCCGACCCGGGAGAAACTCAGGTGGCCACTTTGTTGTATGCTCTCGGACCCAACGCCGACTCCTTGTTCGAGTACCAACTCGGACTATCCGAGGACGACAAGAAGAAATATGACGAGGTCGTCAGTGCTTTCGACACGTACTTCCGCCCCTCTACCAATGTTGTTCATGAACGGGCTAAATTTGAACAGCTTGTACAACAACCCGGCCAGACCGTAGAGGAGTTTGTCCGTGCTCTGTACAAAGCTGCAGAGTATTGTGAGTTTGCTGGCACGAAGGATGAGCGTATCAGAGACCGCTTCGTCGCCCACATGCTGGACAAGCGGGTGAGTCGGGAGCTGCAGATGAAAGACAAGAGCGAGCAAACTCTCGCCAAAGTTGTTGCGTTCGCACGGCACGCCGAAACTGTCCAGCAACAGGTTGCAGCCCAATCGCGCAGTGGCTTGGCCGCCGCCAGCTCGATTTCAGACGATGATGTCTCAGCCTCAGCTGTCCAGTCGCACCGTGGTGGTCGATCTATGCCGAAGAGCAGACCGCATGGTAGCTACAAATCTGCAGCAACGCCGCCTGCGACCGAATCGAAGTGCCCGAACTGTGGTGGAAGCCACCACTCGCAACGCGATCAGTGCCCAGCCAGAGGCCAGTGCTGCAAAGCCTGTGGCAAGCGCAACCACTTCGCGCGAGTTTGCCGATCGAAACCATCCACCTCTGCCGTCACGAACGACTCTCCGGACTCTCTATTTGTTGGCCACACGACGTGCGCACAAAGTGTAAGTGATTCACCCTGGTTGGCAGATCTAGCTATCGGAAAGAGTGTAGTCCAGTTCAAGCTAGATACTGGAGCTGATGTCTCTACCATGTCCGTGCAATCATACAATACACTTCAGCCCAAGTCGTCCTTATCTGCTACTAGTGCCCAGCTGAGAGGAGCGAATGACCAGACTATGCAGGTCCTGGGTGTATTTGAGGCTCACTGCTCCTTTCAATCTCAGTCCACTACCATACCCATCTTTGTTCTAGATGGTGCCAGCACTAGCCTGCTCAGCCGATCTGCGTGCACAGCACTGGGTCTAGTTCAGCGTCTGGCTGAAGTGCAAGGTCCAGTCCCACTCGTACAGTGTATGGTTGGTCCTGCTGCGCAGATTCACTTAACTTCCGACGCCACACCGTATCACTGCCTGACAGCTCGCAGAGTTCCTCATCACCTGTACTCGAAAGTACGTGAAGAACTGCACCGCATGGAAGATGGCGACATCATTGCGCGTGTCGACGAACCCACAGACTGGTGTTCGCCTATGGTGCCCGTCCTCAAACCTAACGGCAAGGTACGCATCTGTGTCGACCTGAAGCGTCTTAATGCGTCTGTCAAGCGGGAGACATTTCAGCTGCCAACGTTAGAAGATGCCCTGTCTTCACTGGCCGGAGCGACTGTGTTCACGACATTGGACACTGCTAACGGATTCTGGCAAGTCCCACTCAGTCCCGACTCTGCCCGTTTGACCACCTTCATCACGCCGTTCGGCAGGTTCTACTTCAAACGACTGCCATTCGGCATCACATCAGCACCTGAGATTTTCCAGAAGCGTCTCACCAACTTTCTGGACCAGCTCCCCGGCGTGTTCGTCTACATGGACGATATCATTGTCTCTGGCCGTACGCGAGAAGAACACGACCGTAACCTAGCTGCCGTACTAGACATCCTGCAGAAAGCCAACGTCACGCTGAACATGACGAAATGTCACAAGCGTCAGGCCGAAGTGAAGTTCCTTGGTCACATCTTCTCCGCCAAAGGTCTCCACCCTGACCCAGCGAGAGTGTCCAGCGTCGCTAATCTGAAGCCGCCCAAGAACGTCACGGAACTGAAGCGCATTCTCGGCATGTTCGCGTTCATGTCACGCTTCATTCCCAATCTCTCGGAAGTCAGCGCTCCACTGCGTCTTCTACTGGGGCATGACACCGCATGGGAGTGGTCTGCTACACAACAACAGGCCCTGGACAAGCTCAAACAGCTTGCCACCAATGCGCCCTGCCTCACGTTCTTCGACCGAACCAAGCCCACGGTCATCAGCGCTGATGCCAGCAGTTACGGCTTGGGAGCTGTCCTATTGCAGGAGCATGACGACGGAATGCGCCCCATTGCATTTGCCTCACGCAGCCTCACCACTACTGAGCAACAGTACGCGCAGATCGAGAAGGAGTGCTTGGCTGTTGTCTGGGCTTGTGAGCGATTCCACGGCTACATTTACGGCAACTCGTCCCTCACTGTCCAGACGGATCACAAACCACTCATCCCGCTGATCAATACGCGTGATTTGAACCGTGTCCCGATGCGATGTCAACGCCTCCTGATGCGCCTGCTCACGTACAATCCAGCCGCCATGTATGTCCCTGGCAAAGAGCTAGTTGTTGCCGATGCTCTGTCTCGCGCTCCGCTCGCCTGTGACGACACGCCTAGTCTCCAAGACGAGATCAGCATCAACCTCGCATCTTACATCGGCGAGATCGTGTCGGATGGTAAAGCCCGTGACATTGCTGACGCCACCACACAAGATGAGACGCTCAAGCAAGTCCTCCACTTCGTCCAACACGGATGGCCGTGCAACCCACGTGATGTCGACGACACTGTGCGCCCATACTTCCATGAACGCCAGTTACTGTCCTGTGAGCAAGGTGTGCTGTACCATGGCTTCCGCATTGTCATGCCACCCTCTCTGCAGCCTGAGATGCTCGAGAAGCTCCACGAGGGACATCAAGGTGCAAGGAAGTGCAAGTCTCGCGCCCGCCATTCCATTTGGTGGCCAGGCTTGTCAAGGCAAATCGACACGATGGTCGCTACGTGTGAAGTGTGCACCAAACACCGCGTCCAGTCGACCGAACCACTGCAACCCGTCCAACGCCCAACACTGCCGTGGCACACAGTTGGTGCAGATCTGATGGAATTCAACGGCACGACTTACCTCGTCATTGTTGACTATCTCTCGCGTTACCTCGATGTCGTACCGCTGACTGCCACAACCTCGATTGCTGTCATCAAGCATCTGCACCGCATCTGTGCCGAGCATGGTTTCCCGTCCACCTTGGTTACAGACAACGGTCCTCAGTTTGCCAGCGAAGCGTTTACTGAGTTCTGCACAGCAAACGACATCACCCATCGCACTTCCAGTCCACGGTATCCTCAGTCGAATGGCGAAGCAGAACGTGCAGTTCTCACCGCCAAGAATCTCCTGCGGAAGGCCGAAAGCCTGCAAGATGCACTCTTGGCTTACCGCACGACACCGCTGAGCAACGGCTATGCCCCATGTCAGCTGTTGTATGGCCGCCAGCTCCGTACCGGTCTACCTGCAACGACTGAACAGCTGGAACCGAAATGGCCAGATCTCCCTAGTATTCTGGAATCGGAAACTCAGTCCCAGGAACAGCAGAAGTTGCACTACGACCAACGGCACGCAGCTAAGCCTCTCGCGACTCTACAGCTTCATGACCGTGTATTCATCACCGATCTCGAACGGGAGGGCAAGATAGTAGAGCAAGTGTCCAATCGTTCTTACCTCGTTGAGTCTGGTCACTCTACTGTTCGCCGCAATCGTCGTCACTTGATCCGACTGCCACTGCTAGAAGCAGAGAAGCCGACAGTCGAGGTTGAGTACGGTGGCACAGCAGCTGATCCAGTCCGTCGCTCTGCTAGAGCTCCTCAGCCTGTCAACCGCCTCATTGAATCATGCTAATTCAGCAACGTGCCGAGACGTAACTGCCGTCGTCTCTGCACATCACTCTTTCACTGCAACTTGCTCTACAAACAATACCTACATTATCGAATAGTCTTTGGACTCCTCATCTTCTCTATTATAGCCTGTTTAATCTCAGAGGGGAGATGTAGTGGATGCACATCCCACTGTTTGTCATTGTATCCTTTTATGTAACATGTATGCATTCATCCGGCTGCGCTGTGCGACATGCCAGTTGTACCGTACGCACTTTAGCTGTACTTGCCTGCCTGGCTTTTCCTTTGATCTCTCTGTCGTTCTCTGTATTCCCACACACTTGTGATTTGTAGTAACGAAGCTAGTTACAAGATGTCTTTGGTGCGTTTGTAGAACCACTACACCAAGCAGGTGCATTTCTGACGTGTTGCTTCGCACTACGACTTGAGTTTTACGTCTTTCGAAAAATCAACTTGTCTCAGGTAAACAGCGGCTCGTCTCTCGCCTATAAAGCACCGTATACGAATGAAAACTAATGGAAGCACACACAAGGCTTATCGTTTCTCTGTACTGCCCATCGTGGAACCCAAATTTCTGAACTCAGGGTGAACTTGACGTGGACTCTATTGATTGTTCCTGTTTCGAGCAACCGCTGTGACAACAAACTTTTTAAACGAAAAGTCGGGCAACTTGGAGGCAACGGGCCAACACAAAGGAGTGGCTCACTTTGATCGACTCTGGCCTCAGAGCAAACTTCAACATGCCAGCTACCTTCCACAAACATATTACGAGCGAACAATCCACACTGATGATCGGTTTGGGTCTACACATTTTTTCTGTCAAACTATTCCTATTTGAAACACTCTCCTCTACTGTTTACAAAAGTGTACACGTTTGGATTTGAAGGCCTCATTCAATTCATTAGGCACTACAGTACAAACAGGTATATACTGGGTTTGTACAGCACTGGGGAACTAACTCGCTTTCGCGGAAACACTCGCTTTTCGTCCGGGGTCAAAATATTGAATCAGTTGTTTTCTCTGTGCTGTCTTTCTCACCTTGGAAAAACTTTGACACATTAAATTTTACACTGCTTGGTCTCAGTAACTGAGTGTTCTTTACTGCTGGTCTTCTGTACAGATGTTTGGTAACGACATACTATCGAGAATGGGTGTCACTGGCGATCTCTACTCCTTCGCTACATCGCCGTGTTTCCCGGATGGCTCCGGAAGTAAGGCAGTTTGATGTATGCTGCTGTTGTCCAGGGTTGTGGTGGAATATGATTTTGACACGGCGAATCCGGACGTAGGAATGCTGCTGGCATGATGGTGTGCACAAGCTGACTGTCTGGAAATTGTGAAATTACATTACCAAGTACAAGTACTGGTGGTGCTTCTCTTGTGTTGTGGTGCTTCTCTTGTGGGTGGCAACATTGACAAGAATACTCTTCTTTGTTGATACCACTTGAATCAGTCACTGCTGTCTCGGGAGTACAGCTGTCCACATCTAACTGTACGTGTGTCATTAGGAAACTCAGACACGCGCTGCTGCAGAGTGCTCATAACGACTTGGTGCTGAATCCATGAGTAATTCTAGTTCTTTTCGAGCCTGTTTGGCTGGACTCCGCAAAAGCAGTTCATCGGAACAACATGCATCTCTTTCCGCTTGTAACTGCTCTTTGAGACTGGTCCAAATATATCAAAGGATCGGCGTCTACTTCAGTATCGCTACTGGTCTAGTGACGCTATCTACAGAGCCTGAACTGGCTGAAGCACAACGAGAAACTTCTCTTCGGCTTTTCGATATTCACTTCGCGTCCAAGATTCTCTTTGTTCTCGACAAAACAGTTTCCTCCTTTTAAATCCTTGTTGCGAATTTTTGCAACAGCTTTGGTTGGGCGCACGCAGATGCTGAGATATCCATTGACCTGACTACAATGCAGTGATATAAGCATTGCTGCATCAAGTGCCAACAGCAAAAAAGCGTTACGTGTCTGCACAAAGGGATCTGCGAGCCAGTAACCTGGTAACACGCAGAGGGTTGCACCTACTTCATGAGTGTAGCCGATTGTTGCCAAAAGCTGGGACTTCCCGATATTATCCACTATGGAAGTGCAAATGCGGCTAAAATATCACAAAATGCTCGTTTTTCCCTTGCTAATGCTCCACAATGCTCTGGTGCTCGGATAGTCCTTTAGGGGTTTTACGTCGGGCCCTAGACGATGGCTACAATGGCCAACCGGAGAAGAAAGAAGTTGAGGCCAAAGAGAATGTTTAATTTTCTTGCACATACTTATTATGCAGTATGACATAGTAGCCTCAGCTGGTTTTGCTCGTGGCTGCAACGCACGGGTAGTGAACCCAGGACAGAAGCGGACCAGGCATCATGACTTTGCACATCTATCGTTATGCTGCTTCATTACGCGACCTGTTTTATTATTATTTATTATTATGACATAGTAGACGGGAGTCAGGCCGCTACAATCCCATAATGCCCAATATAATGCCGGAATTATCCCCTGCACAATAGTGCTTAAAGGGGAAGTTAAGGCAAAAATCAAAATTTCACCAGTTGTAGTCTTCGAGGTGCTGAGTCGAATGGTCGTGGTCCGAGGAAGCTGAGACGCTCCCTTCCTGCTTTAATCCCAATCAAACTCGCGCACTTCCACCGAAACTGGGTGACTGCGCCCTACGAGATGGGGATTTGTATGCAAAATGTCACTAAATGCGCCATTTCGTTCTTATAAAAGCACGGATGACCGCGATTGGCCCATATGTTGTAGTCTTTTGGACGCTGAGTCGACTGGTTTTGGTCCGAAAAGGCTGCGATGCAGCGTTCCTCCTTTATTCCCAATCGAACATGGTTGAACAAGCGGTCACGTGCTCCTGCGTACACTAGTCACCTGGTCACCGTGCCGGCAGGGTACAACTTACTAGCCTGTTTGACCTTTTTTGGGTGCACTTCTGTCACTCGAGTTGAACTCGAGTTCAACCTTGGTGTGAAAGTTGTCACCTGCTGGCGTGGTGACCAGATGATTTGGGCACCCAGGAGCACGTGACCGCTTCTTCAACCACGTTTGATTGGGAATAAAGGAGGAACGCTGCATCGCAGCCTTCTCGAACCAAAACCAGTCGACTCAGCATCCAAAAGACTACAACATATGGGTCAATCGCGGTCATCCGTGCTTTTATAAGAACGAAATGGCGCTTTTAGTGACATTTTGCATACAAATCCCCATCTAGTAGGGCGCAGTCACCCAGTTTCGGTGGAAGTGCGCGAGTTCGATTGGGATTCAAGTAGGAAGGGAGCGTCTCAGCTTTCTCGGACCAAGACCATTCGACTCAGCACCCCGAAGACTACAATTGGTGAAATTTTGATTTTTGCCTTAACTTCCCCTTTAAGCGTAGAGTATGGTAGCCACTATTTCTCTGCTGCTGCTGCTGCTACTAAAACTCTGCCAGCTGGTGAAGACGTAAGCCTAGTTCACATTCGACGGGGCGCGCGGGTACTATAAAACATTGCTGGATCGGCCGAGCTTCAAGAGAATTTCTCAACACACTCTGAGTCTCTACAGACAACAGTCTTTGCCATAGCAGTTAGTTGGAGACTGCATAAGGAGATCCCGATGGCACACACAGTCCGGGTGATCCTTGCGGTGTGGACAAACGGTGTCATGGGTATGGGTATGGGTATGGGTGTGGATCAGATTGCAAGTGTTGCCGCCGTACTTCTCGGCTTGTTGCATTCCGGGTGTGCTAGCTCCACTTTCTCTTTGTTTTCCTTCTGTCTGTCTGTGACTCTCATCTCATTGTTCTCTTTCTTTCTCACACTGTTTCTCTCTCTCTCTCTCTATCTCTCTCTCTTTCTCTTTCTCTCTCGCTGTTTCTCTCTCTCTTTCTTTCTTTGTCTCTCTCTCTCTCTCTCTCTCTCTCTTTTTCTTTCTTTCTCTCTCTCTCTCTCTCTCTCTCTCTCTCTCTTTCTCTCTCTCTCTCGCTCTCTCTCTCTCTCTCTCTCTCTCTCTCTCTCTCTCCCCCTCTCTCTCTCCAGGCAAAAACATAGACACGAGGGCTGAGTTTGTGGAGTGGTATGAGGAAGAGGAGGCCAAGAACCAGGGAATTAGCTCTGCGTCTGGCCGGGTTGATCAAGGAATTAGCTCTGCCTCTGGCAGGGCAGATCAGGGAATTGGCTCTGCCTCTGGCGGGGTTGATCAGGGAATTAGCTCTTTATCTGGCGGATCCAATCAGAGAATTAGCCCTGCCTCTGGCGGCACTGATCAGAGAGTTTGCTCTGCCTCTGGCGTCGTTGATCAGGGAATTAGCTCTGCCTCTGGCGGGGTTGATCAGGGAATTAGCTCTTTATCTGGCTTATCCTATCAGAGAATTAGCCCTGCCTCTGGCGGCACTGATCAGAGAGTTTGCTCTGCCTCTGGCGTCGTTGATCAGGGAATTAGCTCTGCCTCTGGCGGGGTTGATCAGGGAATGAGCTCTTTATCTTTATCCGGCGGATCCTATCAGAGAATTAGCCCTGCCTCTGGCGGGACTGATCAGAGAGTTTGCTCTGCCTCTGGCGTGGTTGATCATAGAATTAGCTCTGCCTCTGGTTGGGCCTCATCAGGGAATTAGCTCTGCCTCTGGCGGTACTAATCATTTCGAGGATGACCACGTTGACGACAATTACGACGGTGCAGCAGGAGCGTGAATACAAATATTCAAATAAAAATGACATTTTGAGGTAAAATGTACGTGCGATGACAGTGTGCCTGCTGCCACATGGTGAGTCGGTGGTCTCCCCGACAGGCTGCTGTGCCTCAGACTGAGTAAGAATATTTGGGCTGCTGGCTGCAGATGCGCCGGCATGATGTGAATGTCGACGCAATGAACACACACACACACAAGCTCCCATCTCGTTGACCTGTGGACTATCTTGCCGTCTCGTCGAATCTCAAAATCACGTGCAGCAGCCCTGGGAGAATGCTGTTCAATGGCCTACAGACTTACCACGATCGAGTTAGTCACGTGCTCTCACTAAGGCACCTTCAGAGTATAATGCGAGAGATTTGGACCTTTAAAACTCTGGAATTTCAGACTTTATGCTTGTGATGTGGTTTTCCCAGTGTTTTGTCCAGTGTTTCACCGAGTGTTTGGTCCAGTTTTTTGTCCAGTGTTTTGTCTAATGTGTTTTGTCCAGTGAGTGTGTGCTTCAACAATGTTTGTTCTCCAAGCTGGTATCTTCCTATTGCTGCTCCTGCTGCTGCCTATCTCAAGAAATGTGTCAATAACAATAGAAATCCGTCGCAATTGTTACTATGCGATTCGTTTGTACGTTTGCACAAAGACTTATGGCATAGTATATTCCGGGTGGTACAGTGGACTTAACCAGCATGAAACGCCAGATCACGGTAAACCTCAAGATCCTGCAAACTTTCAAAGAAAATGTGCACCACTACCTTCGCCGTAGCCATTAGCTTTGGGTCACTGATTCCCTCGAGGAACAATTATCACAGTGCATGCTCCCCTTTTAAACATGTTTTGTGCTTCTGCCCTTCACATCTGATCATCAGTACAACTTCTGAACTCTCAATGTGGGCAGCTAAAGCTAGCGCAAGGGTTGGCTGACTTCTGTGGTCAGTCCCTGGTGGGAGGACATGACCCATCTCAGAGATGCAGTAGTAGTCTAGATGAAAATGTCTCCTCAGGATTGCTTTCCAGCATGAAACTAGTGAGTAGAGACGTTTTATAATCACTTTTTTCCAACGGATCAAGTTTTCGTTTGTACAAAGCTCTGCACGCCGTGTATTGATAGGCACTGTGACCCGTACTGGTCGTAGTCAAGATTCTTCTGTAGTCTAGATGAACATATTCATGAGAACTCTGCTCGCAAACAACTAGCATTGTCATAATCACACGACGCTGCCTCTTACAAACTCGCTTACTCAGTACTTCACTCACAAGGAGAGGGGAGAAGGAGGCTGCTCATTCCGCAGAGTCATATGCCTGTGGCCCACACACCTGTTGCGCAACCATAATGTATGACGTATGTACCTGTGTGTATAACCCATAACCATTCTAGTCGTAAAAAAAGGGCGAGCACCTTTGGGAAAGGGCTAGTCGTAGGGGTGGCATGTGTGTCATAAGGCAGCTGCATCACAAAAACAAACAAAAAACCAAAAAATATCTACACTGATAAACAAGCTGCCTATACCTATCACGATCAGCAGCAGCCAGAGAGAGAGAATTGCTAGGTTCATTGGTCCAGTCTTTGATGTTGGTGAATCAATTGTGAGGTGGCGACCACGGGGTCGTGATCCAGGCACCATTCTATCCAAGCAATAGTGTGAGTAGGCTGTAGCTATCTTGATGCCTTGCTGCATTTCCAAACCACTTCAACTTGATGTGTTGCATCAATTGAATCAAGTTGAATCAAGGCGAGTGAACGAGCCAATAGCATTTTTGACTTCCTGCAGTACTGACTTATTTGTGCGATGATGATGGTATTTGATGCCAAGCAGCTTACGCAGATACCCGAGCTCAAAAGCTCCATTTACGCTAGCTTTTGAGATGGTCCAGGTCTGGCTGCCATAGAGCACAGTAGCAAGAACAATAGCAGTTACCAAGCGTATTTTAACTTTAAGGTAAACAATGATGTAGTTCGGCAAGTCTAGAACGTCTTCAGCTCTTGAAGCTTTCATGTTGCCATCGCCAGTCTTTTCTTGACTTCGACGTCAGATGTTCCATCTGCAGGGATGGTCGCTCCGAGGTACATTTACGCTAGCTAGCTAGGTAGATTCGTTTTTCCTCCATTTTCGTTTCGTTCTCCTGGTGATCTTTCCGTTACCGCCGTCGGGTTTGTTAACGAACGATCGTCCGGCGGTCTCCCATGCCGTGGTGTTGTCGTCAAGAGTTACACCAGATTCATGTGTTGCGCTCCTGTTGATTCCGGTGTTGTATCCGTTCCTGGTTGTGTTGTAATACTGACAGGCTTAGTAGTAGGCAACGGGTGTTTTCGTGGCCTCCCACGCTTTGGCCTGCTTGCCCTGGCCGCTTTTGACAACAAGGACAATGGGACGTGTTGTTTGATACGCTCGGACAAGTGTTGAAGCGTCCTGCCAACATACCGACTACCGCACTGTCGGCATTCAAAAATGATAAATGAGGTGACTCAAATGATGGGTCAGCAGGACGTCCTTCAACACCGTGAACGAAACGAAAATGGAGGAAAAACGAATCTGAGGAGAAGCCAGAGACTAGCGGAGACACGACTGAGAAAAATCGAGAAGGCGGAACCAGTAGCGGCAGGTGAAAGTGCGGGCGCAGCAGTGAACACGTCAAGGAGAAAGAAGCGATGGCATGAGGAGATGGAGTTGGAGGATGATGATGGGGATGAACAGGATGGTCAGGAGGAAAGCAAGGGTGAACAGGAACAGGAAGTGGAGGATGAGAGTGATACTGACGAGGAGGAGTTCGACATCGACAAGAGCAAGTCTGCCATCTACAAGTACAAGCATTTGGTGTCCAGTCCGCATTGTCGTAAGTTGTTTGACGATTCCTGGTTTCGTGTTATTTGTTGCGCACGTTTCTTTAAGCAGTTGCAGGTGTTGGAAGCTGTATATATTTGCACACGTGACCCTGTTCTATGCAAGCAAAAAGAAGATGTTGTGGCACTCAAACTTTTTAAACGAGAGAGCTTGGAAGCTCAGGGCCCTACGCTATACTTTTTTGCCTTGATGACCTAGACAAAAAAAAGCATAGGGATATTATAGATTCTTTAAAAAATTTGTAAGAAAGGTTTGCTCCCCACACCGGAGCTCGCGCTATTCCGCCGACTTTACTTGACACTTGACTGACTCACGACTGCCATCCAGAGCACACGAGAAGTCCATCGAACCTTCGACTCGGCAAACCTGCAAGAAAGCACCACTCCCTGATCAATACACAGTGTTTCGGGGAATTCACCCCTCATCAGTTGAGCTTGAGTAGGCTGAGGAAGATTGTGCCTGAAGAGCACCACTTATATAGTGCTCTCCAGGCACAAACATCACCAGGGATACAAACTTACAGAGACGCTCCGCTTCCAGCGCGACAAACACCTCGTGAATACCAGATAGCAGCGTGAGTCAGTGTCGCTCCTGGACGGTGAGACAGACGTCGGGGACCCTCGGTCATTCGCAACGCTGTCACCTCCAAACCAACTAGTCGCAAGCCCGCGCTGGGCGCAACAGTACGAAGTAGTGGTTGCGATTTCGGCGATGATTTGTAAGAAAGGTTTGCTCCCCACACCGGAGCTCGCGCTTTTCCGCCGACTTTACTTGACACTTGACTTGTGGGGAGCAAACCTTTCTTACAAATCATCGCCGAAGTCGCAACCACTACTTCGTATTATTATTATTATTATTATTATTATTATTATTATTGTGGAAGAGAAAAAAGACATATGGATACGAGTTAAGAATAACTCTCCATCACTGTAACCAGATACTATATACAGTCAGAAAGTGCAATAACTAGGCACAAAACTGACAGAGTACTGAAACATTCGACGTCCTGACACCTACATGTTACATGTTTTCTCTTCCACATTTATTTATGGCTCAACATCCGAGTTTCAAATTAGTATTATTATTATTAGTAGAAAGGAAAAGGACATATGGAAACGAGTTAAGAGTAACTCTCCACCACTGTAACTAGATACTATACAGTCAGAAAGTGCAACAACTTGGCACAAAACTGACAGAGTACTGAGACATTCGACGTCCTGACACCTAGCTTCAACACATCTCCGTAGCGCTAACCGACAGCCTTCCAACTTGGAAGGTTCAAGGTTATGGAAAGACCAAAGAGGGGAAGGCAAGCGCAACGAAAACGAGCACAAGCTACAGTCCCAACGGAACAAAGAATGTCGATTGTCACTGGACGATGACGAGACCAGTAGGCGATTTGACAAAGCGGTCTAACTACAATTCGAAGCAGCAAAGCAGCACACCACCCAACTTGGGTGGGTCAAAAATATCAAAGATAAGTTAAGAAGGGGGAAGCTTTGCGAGAACGAATTGTACAAGCCGAAATCTAAACTCCTACAGTACTATTATTATTATTATTATTTGGAAAGGATTGGGAGAACTTCAAATTCAAATGATCAGTCGGGGAAGTGAACTGCCTGAAAAGAGAAAAAAACGCCAGACCCACCAGGACTCGAACCTGGGACCCTACTTGTCATGAGCAATGCTCTAACCACTGAGCTATGGGACCAGGCTGAACCTAGAAGGCGCTGACAAGTTTTTCACTCCAAAGGCAGCTCACAACACGTGCCACACATACTGATGGCACTTGGGTCTTTTTCCCTCCCCCAGGGGACCAACCACGGTCAGTTTCTGGAAACTACCAGAGGTGAAAGAAAGTGATTAAATTTGGAAAGGATTGGGAGAACTTCAAATTCAAATGATCAGTCGGGGAAGTGAACTGCCTGAAAAGAGAAAAAACGCCAGACCCACCAGGACTCGAACCTGGGACCCTACTTGTCATGAGCAATGCTCTAACCACTGAGCTATGGGACCAGGCAGAACCTAGAAGGCGCTGACAAGTTTTTCACTCCAAAGGCAGCTCACAACACGTGCCACACATACTGATGGCACTTGGGTCTTTTTCCCTCCCCCAGGGGACCAACCACGGTCAGTTTCTGGAAACTACCAGAGGTGAAAAAAAGTGATTAAATTTGGAAAGGATTTGGAGAACTTCAAATTCAAATGATCAGTCGGGGAAGTGAACTGCCTGAAAAGAGAAAAACGCCAGACCCACCAGGACTCGAACCTGGGACCCTACTTGTCATGAGCAATGCTCTAACCACTGAGCTATGGGACCAGGCTGAACCTAGCCGTCTGGCGTTTTTTTCTCTTTTCAGGCAGTTCACTTCCCCGACTGATCATTTGAATTATTATTATTATTTTTATTTTTTTATTATAGACAACACCTCATGGCATGAGAAGAAAATCAGCCAGTACGGGAGATGTGGGTGTTAACCAACCATGGTGAATAAAAGAAGAAAAGTAATGGTCAAGACGGAGAAGCATGGGAGGGACAGGTGATGGTGAATCTAGTGAGCAGATTTAAATGCGTCCAGGGTACTGGCATTGCGCGTAGTAGCGGGCAGCGCAAGCCAAGCAGAGTAAGCAACAAAGAGTGCAGAGCGTACAAGGGAGGACGTTTTAGCCAAGGGGAGGGCAACAGAGCATCTTGTGCAAATTAATTTTTGACGGTGGGTCGACAGTGGGCAAGCATTTGCAAGGACATACAGGGAAGCAGAAGAGTAG